CATAATCCCTGTAGTCCTTGCAAGGTGGGAACATCTTCAGGCCCTCTACATGATGAGGAAACTGAGGCTCAGGGAAGCCAGCTGGCCACTTGCCAAGTGTCACCCTATCCCTGACACACTCAGGGCTCCCGCCTGGCCTGATGGTCTCCAGCTCCTGCCAGGCTCATCAGCCCAGCCTGTGTGGCCAGCTGGGTCCCAGCAGCTTAGAGGGGCTTCTGGTTGAGGCCCAGGCTGCCTAGAGGTGCTTGCAGGGATGGAGCAGGAGGGCCCCCTGGGGCTGCTCCTGGCTCTGCCTATCATCAGCCCCCATTGTAGTTCCAGGGGAAATGGTACATCTTGGGACTGGCAGGGAAGGAAATTCATAAAGAAAAACACAGCCAATTGAAGATGTACACCATGACCTACGAGCTGAACGAAGACAACAGCTACAATGTCACCTTTGTCCTGCCCTGGTGAGATCCATCACCCCTAGGGGAACATGGGGAGCCCAGAGGGCTGCCGTGGGGGTCTAAGAGGCAGACTGATGTCATAGCCGAGGGCTGGCCATAGCTGAAAGATGATAATTCATCCTACCGCTGGGTACTGGATCCCTATATTTATTCTTTCTTTCATTTACTAAATCAACATTTCTTGGTCATTTCAGCACAGACACAAAACAGTACTGGGGTTGGACAAAAGCGGTCATCAGTGACAAGACAAAGAGAGCTCGGAGTGTCCTAGAATGGGAGGAGGGTCGGTGGATCCAGCCTGGAATCCTACCTTGAGCTTTGTCCAGGGCTTCCAGGGAGGTGGTCTGTGGGCTGGGCCTTGAGAAACCAACTTGCGTCAGGAGACCTGGGACCTTTATGGCAGGGCTGCTGGACTGAGTCAGAGAGAGCCACTTCTTCAAGAAATAGCAAGCCATCTCATGGCCGCCGTGAGCAGGAGCTGATGAGCAGTCTGGAGGGGGGGGGGGGGGGGGGGGGGGGTGGCCACCCTGGCAGGAGCCTCAGGTACTGGTGAAGAGCAGGTGTGGCTGTAGCAGAGAGAGGAATGATGGTGTGCAGCCCAGGAGGCTGATCAGTCATAGGTAGGAGATGACCAGAGCAGGGGCAGATTAGGACCTAGAGAGGGGAGGCAAGGATTCCGCAGCGCCCCTGGGCTTCTGGCTCTGGCACTTGGGGATGGGGCTAGAGCATCTGTCATGGAAGGAGCAGAAGAAGGGCAGGTGTGGGGGATCAGCTCTGGGTTCCCAGGGGACCAGATGGGATGCAGGTGAGAGGTCAGGGTTGGCCCAGCAGCTAAGGGAGTCTTTGGCATCCAGCAGACTGGAGCCTCTGTTGATTCCCCCAGAAGAAGTTATAGCAGGAAGCCATAAGATAGGCATAGGGCATAGGGGACCCCTGGTGGCTCAGTCGGGTAAGCCTCTGACTTTGTCTCAGGTTATGATCTCACAGTTTTGAGTTTGAGCCCTGTGTAGGGCTCTGTGCTGACAGTTCATAGCCTGGAACCTGGTTTGCATTCTGTGTCTCCCTCTCTCTCTCCCCCCTCTCCCACTCAGGCTCGCTCTCTCTCTCTGTCTCTCTGTCTCTCTGTCTCAAAAATTAATGAACATTTTAAAAATTAAAAAAAAATTAGGAGACAAATGCTGCGGGTGAAGGGGACAGTATGGAGGGAAGGCCACCAAGGGGAAACAGCCTCGAAGAAGGAAGACAGTAGATGCAGAGGGAGAGTCTGAGCAGTTCAGGTGGCTGAGGGCAGAGGAGGCAGGGACAGGCAGGGATGGGCTCAGCGGGGAAGAGACAGGCCCATCTGAGGGGTGGCGTGCAGGCCTCCTGCTGTGGCAGGGTGGGCTGTCACCCTCTTACCCACCCATCTCTTGCCTCCACAGGATCCAGCGCTGTGACCACTGGATCACAACTTTCATCCCAAGTTTCCAGCCAGGCCAATTCAACCTGGGCAACATTGAGCGTGAGTCCTGAGTTCAGTAGGTCTCCGAGGGCAAGGACCTCCCTGCCCCTCCACACAGACACCATCCTGTGGTACCAGGGGAGGAAACAACAGCTCCCTCTGCCGGGAGGGCTGATCCCTCACTGTCCACCATGCAGGTTATCCTGGAATCCAGAGTTACACTGTACAAGTCGTGGCCACAGACTACAACCAGGTTGCCATGATTTTCTTCAAGAAAGCTTACAAAAACCAGGAGTTCTTCATGGTCACCCTCTATGGTGGGTCTTACCCCCTGGGACCCGGCTCTTGTTCGTGCTGGGGGAGAAGAGGCCCACGACACCCAGCCCCCAAGGTCCCCTTCACTCTGAGCCCTGGGAGGCGGGAGAGAGGTCTTTCCACAGACCCCTCAGGAGGGAGGGGTCTGAGGCATCATTCACGGGTTCCACAATATTCATGGAGCTTCCGCCAGCCACTCACCAGCCATCTTGGCCACAGGGAGGACCAAGGAGCTGACCCAGGAGCTGAAGGAAAACTTCATCAGCTTTGCCAAATCCCTGGGCCTCACCGATGACCACATCATCTTCCCAATCCCCAACGGTAATCACCAGCTGGGGAGAGGAGAAGGGCCCATGGGGACTGTCCAGGCCTGATGTTGCTTCACTAAGGAATGGGGGAGAGGAGGGAGGCAGAGCCCTGCTGTGGTCACTGGAGGCCCAGAAGCCACTTCAGGTTCAGGAAGACCCTGCCACAATCAGGGTTCTGGGCCCCTAGTGCTCCTCCCTCACCCTCGCTCGGGCCTGCCCACACGAGAATTGCAGGCATGGGGCGAAGCTTCCTCAGTCTCCTTGCCTGGCCACCTCCCCCTTTGCCCTGGGACTGGCTCACCACTGACCTAGGAGGTGCCCTTGTCTTCAGGCTGCCTGGCCTGGGCAGGTGCCTCCCAAAGCCTGAGGGTCTGTCAGGACTCAGCAGGTAAACAGGCAGAAGGCTTGGCGCCCAAACAGGAGTGTGGCTGGGCCTCACCTGCCTCCTTTGGAGAACGGGTGTCACCCAGGTCTGCTTGTCCTCAGGCCTCTCCTCCAGTCCCCTGCCCCATCTTCCAACCCTCTTCTGTACCATCTATGAAAGGAGCCCCGGAGCTTCTGTGGCTGGACCAGGCTGAGGCCCAGGGTAGCCCAGGGGCAGTGCAGGGGTCCTGGAGGTCAGGGATCCCCCACACACCCCTGCCCATGCTGACCACTCTGTCCCCCACAGATGAGTGCATATATAAGTGAGCAAGTGTGCGGTAAGTATGGCTACAGAAGGGGCTGATGGGAGCCAGGGTGCAGCTGGGAGGGGGTTCCAGGTCTGCCTTTGTCCCACCTGTCCAGCACTGCTGCCCTCTCTATTCCCTTGACGCCCTCTCAGGTGCCCTCGGGCTCTCTCCACCCCATCCCCCTCTCGCCAATCTCTGCCCAGGGCACCGCCCAGCTGTCCCCACCAGCCTGGACCAGTGAGAGAGCCAGGGGACCCTTCTCACTGCACAGCTCACCAGCTGCTTCCCAGGCTGCCCTATTCACAGAACCCCTCCTTGTTGCTAATAAACACATGCCCCCCAGTCCCAAGTCTGTGCTCCTTGACTTCTGGGCCCTTTGAGGGGGATAAAGAGCAAAAGGCAGGCTCCTATTAGCATCCCTCCCAGGAACTGTGGTCCCCTGGAAGGGATGAAGGCCACAGAAGCAGAGTCCAGCTCTGACTAAATACTCCTGGCTCCAACCCCAGGCCCGGCCCCAGACCAGCAGCTGCCCTCACTTGCCCCTGCCTCCTAGGACACTGAGGGGGCACATCTCACACTCATGTCCAGCCACCTGAAGCAGGTCCAATGGCAGAGGCCCAGGCCCAGGGAGCTGGAGAGGGTTGGAGGGCTGAGGTGCCGTCACCTCTACCCTATCAGGACCCCGTGGATGCTGGAAGATTGCAATAGAGGGGTGCACAGTGGGTGAGGCAGAAGGTTGCCCAGCTGGATACCATGCCAGACACAGAGTGTCACCAGAGGTGGTCCCTTTCCCTCTGCCAGCCCCCTATGGGCCCACTGCTGGGTGGCAGTGTCCATGCCGACCACATTCTGAGTGCTGCCCCTCACCCACATCCCTCCACCATGAGGACCTCTGGAGAACCTGGGGCAAGGCCAGGGGAGGCAAGGATGAAAATGAATATGCTGCCAGGAATCCAGATTCTAGAAGACTCAAGGGTTCCAGCCTTATACCCCTCATTTGGCCGGGCCTGTGTCTGGGGCCTGACCAGCCTCTGTCCACCCCTCTGTGTGAACCCCCTCCCTGGTCTCTTCTCCCTTTGCAAGGTCAGAGGCTGGAGGGGGCGAGGCTCTGAAGAAACCCAGGCTTATCCACCCCACAGACTTGCATACTTACCCCTTCACCCTTGGGTTGGGGGAGTGGGAAGGTAACTGGAGCTCTGAGCAGTGCTGGCCTCAGCCTCCAGGGGGCAGGACAGGGTTGACTGCTACAGCCTTAGGAGTCTGGGTCAGATCCAGGAAGAGACCAGCTTGCTGCAGCCTGGGTTGAGGGACGGATGGAGGCTCTGCCCAAGTCCAGAGACACAGAAGGGCACCCAAGGGACTGCTGGCTAGAACGCCACTAGCTGGCCGAGGGGGCGGCAGGTGCACCCAGCACGCCCGGGGCTTGGGCTCCACTTTGGGCAACAGCCAGTTTCTTTGCCTTGGCCCAAGCATACAGCTTCCTGCCACCACCCGGGGCCTCCTGGGTCTCCAGGATCAAATTCTTAGGACGCAAATGGGCTTTGTGTTTCTTCCTGGAGTCACTGGATTTTATTGGTTCCTATTGCTGCTATAAGTTATCACACACTGGCAGCTCAAGACAACATGCATTTGTTCTGTTACAGTTCTAGAGGTCCCAAGTCTGAAATCACTTTCACTAGCTAAAATCAAAGCCTCAGCGGGGCGGCACTTCCTCCAGAGGCTCTGGGGAGAATCTCCTTCTTTAACTTGGGGGTCTTTCTTCCTTAAAGACAGCAGTGTGGCATCTCCAAATCTCTCTCTCTCTCTGGTGATGTCATCACATGGCCTTCTCTCTTGTCTGCAGACAAATTTCCCTTGGACTCCCTCTTTATAGGGACACTTATGATTACATTTTGGGCCCACCTGGCTAATCCAGGGTAATCTCCCCCTCTCAAAACACCTCATGTAGGGGCACCTGGGTGGCTCAGTCGGTTAAACGCCCAACTCTTGGTTTCAGTTCAGGTCATGATCTCACAGTACATGGGTTTGAGCCCCACATTGGGC